TTAGTTGGTAGAAATATTTAATTGTATTTTTTTAACAGATAATTAAAAAGCTTGATTTTGAATTCAGAGATTGAATTAAGAGATTTTAGATCAGGAGGTAGTTTGTTCCATGAGCTAATACATTGATATTTAATGGATTTATTTCCATATTTAGCAGATTGGTGTTTCGGAATAACTAAGTTTAAGCTACTGATGGAGCGAAGAGGATAATGACAATTTGTAATTGAAAAGAAATTGTTGAATGATAGGGGAAGGTTTTTGTGATGATAATTCCAGACAAATAGGCAGTTAAGGAATACCACAAGGTCGCTTATTTTTAATATTTTGGAGATTAGGTATAGTACATTAGATTTAGAGTTATTATACTGAAAATATATTATTTTCAAGGCTTTATTTTGGAGATGGGACAACCTTAAAATGATTTGTTTATGGGATTGTCCCCATACTTGACATGCATATCTTAGATGGGACCCAAAAATAGCATGATATATATTTAGCAGAGTTTCTAGATTAACATAATGGCGGACTTTGGCTAGCATTCCATTAGATCTGCTGAGTTTCATTGCTAAGTCATTCAGATGGCCTTGAAAAGAAAGATTAGAATCAATTTTAATCCCAAGATATTTAATAGAGTCTAAAGGATAAATTTTTTGTCCACTTAGTCTGAAATTTAATTGCTTTTTAATAGGTACCAGATTGGATTTAAAAATGATAAGCTCTGTTTTGTAAGAATTGAGAGAAAGTTTATTAGAACGAAGCCACTGAACAAGATTTCCAAGATCATGATTAATATGTTTGTTGATTTTTTTTAAGTGATTTGTCAACCAGTAGCATGTTAGTATCATCAGCAAAATGGTAAGCAGTTGCAAATTTAAAAGAAGTATTCAAGTCATTAATAAAAAGAAGAAAAAGAAGTGGTCCTAAAACTGAACCTTGTGGGACGCCATTTGAGCAATTCTGTAAATCAGATTTAGTGCTATTAATGGAAACAAACTGTGTTCTATTTTTGAGATATGAAGTAAACCATTTTAGCGGGATGCCTCTGATTCCGTAGTACTCTAATTTTGTGAGAAGGATGGAGTGATCCACAGTATCAAATGCTTTCTGCAAATCTACAAACACCCCACATGCAAAGTATTTATTATCTAGAGCTCTTCTAATCTTCTCAGTAATTTCAATAAGTGCAAGGGTTGTAGAATGTTTGCTTCGAAATCCATATTGATGTTGGTACAAGCATTTAAATTTATCTAGAAACTTGTATAGTCTGTTATGCACAGCCTTCTCAAAAAGTTTGCTCAGATTGGAAAGAAGGGAAATGGGTCGATAGTTAGAAAAGTCTAGTAAGGAGCCTGTATTATAAATTGGAATGACTTGAGCTACTTTAAAAACATCAGGGAATTTGCCATTTTTAAAAGAATTATTTATCATAATGCTATGAGGTTTGGAGATTATGTGAGAGGTAAGTTTAAGAAAAAATGGAGGTATGCTATTAGGTTCATAACTTTTATCATTTTTAAGAGTATTACTAATAAGACTAGATACCTTATCTTCACTAACAGGATCAATAAAGAAAGAATTAGCATTAGGAAGATTAAGAAAGTCACTATAAGTATATTCTGATGTCATAATATTATTGAGTAGTTTTTCACGAATAGAGACAAAGTAGTTATTAAATATATTCGTAACAGTGGGATGGTCTGTGATAATATTTTCATTCAGATTTAACTGAGTAGGTGTTTTATGTAATGATCCTTTAATATTTATGATATCTTTTATGCCTTTCCATGTATTTTTTATGTTGTTTATGTTGTTATTAAAATAAGTTATGTAGTATGATTTTTTACTACTTTTTAATAAATTACTAATTTTATTTCTATAGAATTTAAATTTTGTGAAAAGCTCATTTTTAGTATTAATGTTTTTACATCTTACAAATTTTTTGTAGAGTTTGTTTTTTACAGAGATAGATTTAAGTAAGCCTTTAGATATCCAGGGTTTAGATTTTAGTTTGATTTGATTTTTAGTCAAAGTTTTATAGGGGGCGCATTGGTCTAGAACCATATTAAATGATTTTAAAAAATTATTGATGGATTCATTAATATTGTCATCTTTTTTAATTATAAGCTCCCAGCTGATTTTAGAAATTTCTATAATAAACTTGTTAGGGTCAAATTTTTTTAAACATCTTCTAGAAATTTTAACTTTATTTGGTTGGTTGGATGTGCCAGGAACACAAACAAATTGTGCTGTGTGATCCGAGGTAGAAATAGTTAGGTTAACTGAGAGATGATCAGAAGAGTAGAAGTTCATAAAGATGTTATCAATAAGTGTTTGAGATTTAGTTGTTATACGGGTAGGTAAGATTATGGAAGGATTAAATGAGTAAGAATATAAGGTATCAAGGTATCCAAACAAAAAATCTAATTGCAAAAATCCTTTAGATTCGCGCTATTTTGTAAACATAACGTTTTACAAATATCATACAAATGGTTTTGGGCATAAAGATTTAAACTTAACATAACGCTAACATAACGGTGAACATAACGCCAAAGTTTTCAATTACCGTTATGTAACTGTTATTTTAGCGTTATGTTTTTTGCTGTGTACTAGAAACCTAACAAAACGAAAGCGTCGTAGGTACATCAATCAATGGAAACTATACGGGTGTTTTAGCATATGCTGATGACATTATACTCCTTAGCTTCACTCTCTCTGGCCTACAAAAGCTTATTAGTATATGTAATATGTACACACAAAAATTGCATAAAACTGAATACTGACAAAACCGAGTTCCTGCACACCGGAAAAAAGCAAATTAAAAACTGCATAATAACTCTCAACCACCAACAAATAAAACTTCATGATAAACTTAGTCATCTAGGCTTAACATGGGATACCAAAAGTTCACCTTTTGCCTCCTTAATAAATCAAACATTGATCACCGAATATCTAATTTCCGAATATCCAAACCTTAATTCAATCAGGAATCTGTTTTGCTCACCCAAACTCCATTGCTCAGTTATATAAAACTTTAGCTGCTCCAACACTAACGTATGGTCTTGAGCTGTATGAATATAAAAAAATGTTAATGCAAAAGTTTAATATATTTGGAAGAAATGCTCTTAAGTCACTCCTCGATGTTTCAAAACATGGCAAAAATTATATTCATGCTTTATTTTTTATTGAAGATATATCAATTATTATACAACAAACAAGCTAAACTTATTTATTCGCCTGATGAACAATAAAATGACATATGATATTATTAAGTCGCAGCTGAAAAACGAAACAGCCCCACAACATTTTTTAGATAGTATCAAAGGCTTGTGCAATAATCATGAACTAAATCTGGAGACAATAATGGAAAGCAAATAAAAAATAAAAATCATCGGCTTCAAAAATTTAATTCCTGAGACGGATATTCAAACTCTAAAATGTGCAGTTGAGTGCTGGAACTTAAAAAAGCAGAGAACTATCTTAAAGGACATTCTTGTATGAAACTCTTAATTTACCTTACTTGAATAGTGGGTGTTTAATAAATCTAAATAAAAAATAAAAAATAAAAATAGATTTCAGTTTCACTTCAGTTTATTAAACACGTCTTTAATAAACTAAAGTTTATTAAACACGAACTATAACTCAAAGATATTTTTGTTTACCTTCAAGAAACTTAACCTTATGATTTAACGATAAAAATTTTGATCACTTGAATAAAGAAAATAACTTATTTGTCATACCAAACTTTTTCGCACTCCAAAGGATCTGGGTTGTAATTTTTTCAGGTGCAAAGAAATAATACAAAAAGCTATTTTACTCTCGAGTCCCTAATAAAAAGAGGGAGGGGGAGCGTTTATTAATTTTTGGAAAATTCCACTCGCCACCCGTTTATTAATTTTTTACTTGTTATCAAAAAATAATAAAAAAACAAAAAATAATAAAAAATCAGTGAAAATCGACCTTAAAAATTAAAAATCAATTATTTTAGTCACAAAATTTTAGTGTAAACAGGCTTTAAAAACTATCGACTAAGTAAATCTCGATATATCGAAAACGAGCTTTTAATTCATTTCTCAAAATTGACCGCAAGCCACAAAGTTTAAGCGTGTTTTGTAAAAAATATTAGTTTGGATTTATCAGAGTTGTTAACAAGGCCAAAAGTAGCATGGCTAAGGCCAAGACCAAGGCCACACATTATAAGGCACAGTTCAAGACCTAGGTCCAAAGTTACAAGACCAAGGACAAGAGTTTTAATGTCAAAGCAAAGATTAAGAGTTTCAAGGCCAAGGCTTACGCAAACATTTTCAAGCCAAAGACTTTAATTTTTGCCTTACGTTAAGGCCAATTATTAACAAAACTGTAAGTAGCAAGTGCTGTGACAAAAAAACCACATTTTGTAAAAATAAAAAGGTTATGCGCAGAATTCAACGAAATTAATAAGAAGATATGTATTTTTTTTTTAAGGCCATCCCAAAACAATCAAGCTCAAGGCCAAAGTTTTCAAGGCCAAGACCAAGGCCAACAGTTTCAAGGCCAAGACCAAGGCCAAGGCCTCAATTTAAGCCTTAAAGCAAGGCCAAGGACTAACAACTCTGGGATTTATAAACTAAAATTTTTTATAAACAACACTTATATTGTAACATAAAAAAATTCCTTCCCCCCCCCCCCCTGTTTATTAGATCTGGACTAAAATTCCCACCCCTTGTATTAAGGAATCCCCTTGTATTAAGGACTCCCCTTTGTATTAACACCCCTTGTATTAAGGGCTCGACAGTACGCTTTCAGACTATATAGTCTGGAAGCGTATTGAATTTAAACATATATGTTTAAATTCAATAAACTAATAAATATTTTTCATAAAAAAAATAAAAAATAAAAGTTTTCTTTTCACGAAAATATAAATTCATTCATGTAACGTGATTTTCAAAACATAACTCGATGATTTAACTCAAAGCAATATTTTGATTTATTTAGCTGATAAAAAAAAAAAAAAAAAAAAACAGTTTTTAAAAATATATATATTTTTTTTTTAATTACAGAAATATTAGATTAGGTTGGAGAAATTATTTAATAAAATTTTCATGTTTACAGCTTTTAATAAAATTTATATGATTTATTAAAAATATTTTAAATTATAAATTGTTTAATCAAAAATAAAGGAAAATTAAAATTAAAAAGGTAACAAAAAAAGCAAAAATAAACAATCAAAAAACAGAACCTAAAAATAAAAATTGTCAAAAATAAAAGAAAAAATTTCCTTATAAAAACATTTGCTTTTTGTTTCTTAGGAAACAAATGGATTTGTCAGCTGAGTACAAGCGGTATAGGTGGATGATCCACCACTAATCACAGCAATCAGTACAATCTCTAAGAGTAAAATTTTTACGTAAAAAGGAATGCTTTTTTTCAGAATCCAATAAAAATAGCATGGCAATATAAAAGATGTCATTGTTACTGTTGTACCGCCAACAATAGATAGAATGACTTCGAAATGAGGAACAGCTTCAGATATACCAATTATAAAGAAAACTATTGATGATCTTAGTATGACTCTTGTTCTACCAAAATCTGAAAAAAAAAATATATATATATCAGCCTAATCTCCAAGCTACACAGCAGCATCAACTTTTTTAGCCTTTGTTAGCCCAAACAAATTTTTAAACATTTATGCTTATACGTAAATCAAATTAAATAACATAAAAAACTCCAACAACTGGAGCTTGGAAAAAAAAAGTCCTAAAATTTAAGCCCCTTTACTGCAAATGTGAGAGTAACAAATTTATAAAATATTTTTTCTACTATACTCAACTATATTTATATCTCACTTTAAATTGAGAGGGTTATAAATTTTTTAATTCATAATTTTCTAAAATCAAGAATTTAATCAGGGTAGCCACACTTTTTTTGTCTAAAAAATTGGATAATTTAGGAGTTTTTACAAGGTTTTTAAGGACACTTACCGGTAAATTTAAGAAAAAGGATAAAAATCTCAGGAGATTTTAGGAGGATTTCAAAAATGAAGTGGCACTAAAATATTTTCATTTTATTTAAAAGCTGTTAGAATAACAGCTAAAATGTCAGACATTTTCTATAGACATACTTTGACATAATTTTATGACTGAATTATTTTCTGCCGTAATAAAACATGTCAGACATATTTTCTTTCAATATATTTTGACATAATTTTATGTCTGAATTATTTCTTGACGACATAAGCTATGTTGGATGTGTTTTCTAAAAACATATTTTGTCATAATTATGTCTGAATTATTTTCTTTTTTATATTCTTGAAGAAGAAATTAAACTAAAAAATTCATTGCGCATTTTAGATTAATTTGACGAACAAAATAAAAATATATTAGTGAGATAGTTGTTTTTTGCAATCAATTATGCTTAATAAAACTTTTGTTGTAAACCTTAAAAAACAAATATTAGTTGCTGCATAAATTTTACCTATCTTTTTAGCGATGTCACTATTCATAAATAAAATGAAGACCTTATATTTCCAAACTTCTAGGGCAGTATATATGTCAATATTGAAGCTCCCGTAGTGTCACTACGGGAGTAGGTTCGTGACTACGGGAGTGTCATTACGAGAGTGTCACTACGAATACGGGAAATGATGTAAAATACGTAGGAGTGTCACTACGGGACTCCTGTAGTGACACTATCATATAATGTGTTAAGCATATCATCACTACTAGGGATATCATCACTAATTGTAGTAGTGATGACATGCATTATTAGAATGCAAAAATCATCGCGAGCTTAATTTTTATTAACGAAAGCAGTAGCGAAACAATGGGGCCGCAGGGCCTGCAACTGCGGGTGGGCTCAGGCAAAAAGTGGCCCACTTTCAAGCTAATTTTAAGTTGTATGGGGGATGTGGGGCCTATTTTGAAAATCTTGTGGGGAAGGGGGGCAAAATTTGAAGTTTCGCTACTGAACGAAAGTGGTTTTTATTAGTACAACTAAACATAAAATTCTTTTAATCAAAGCTAAGAAAGAAAAAAAAAAACACTAAGATTTTCTATATTTTTTAAACAAAAGTTGAACCTTAAAAGTTTTAATTATCAAAAATTGACTCTCAAACTATTCTAAGAAAAAAAACTGTTTAACTAAAAGAAAATACACGCAAAGTCTTTTAAACAAATTGTATTTTTTCAATTAAATCCAGATTGTTTTTTACCACCATGTTAGAATTTAAGAAATCGTTTGAAATGCGAGTACATAGATGGCTATAAACCAGAGCGAATCCAGAGAAATCACGTTCAACTTTAACGCTGGAGAACACTGCACCGTAAACAACTTGCGAGATTTCATAGAGCCGATTCCATTTTGTTTTCTTATTTTTTTCCAACTACGCAAGAATGTTGAATTCAGAACCTAATGTCACTCGCGCTTCATTAAGAGCCCAATTTATAATGAGTTGACGAATATCTTAAACTGATTCAAAAATTGCACCAGCACTACATTGTCTAGGTCCTCCTCCAGTATATTCTGTGAAACGCCTTTTTTTTCAGCTTCAACATCTTTTGAATTCATCGGATCGTCTCTCCTGAAACACTTAATGAATTTGATATTATGCATTCTTCTGTTGATAAAATATTGAATTGTTCTCGTAGAGTGCAAATTTTTGTTAAAAAAATTCATCAAAAACTTTTGGGTTGGGTGATTCCTCTATTCAACATTTCTGTATTAAACAGATGGTGACTCGATGTAAAACAAAATCGAGGATCAAGAACTAAGGCAGCAATAAATGCTTCACATTTAAAAAAAACTTGTTCTCGTGTATTAATTGCGTTTATTAGTAACAACGTTATTCCCAAACCACCTGCTGTAATGTCCTCAAAATTTATTTTCATTTAAATCCATCGAAAGTAAAATTCACTTATTGATAATTTTGCGGACTGAAAATCCATCATGGCCTTATGTATTGGTAAAAATGCGTCGAAGTATTCATTTATTAGGCTCCATGATGCATCATTTAATTTTAATTTGTCGTGTCTTAACCTATGATATGCTTCTGCGTTGGTATGGAGATCTTTTATCATTAAAAAAGTGGAATCCCAGCGTAGTGCAATATCAATACAAGGCTTTTTTAGATTTGTAAAAGTTTGAATGTATACTACTTTTTGGATTCAATAGCAACTTTTCTGACGATGTTTAATGCATCTGTAAACATTGATGTTACACCTTTGGCAGCAAGCTGACACACATGTGCGCTAAAAAACATAGCTGAACAGAACAATCCAACTGATTTTTCAACGCAAATAATGAGGGCTTTACTATAATTCACTTCTTCCTTTTCTAAAGTGCCTATATCAATTTCCTCGTCTTCGAGATCAATAAATACATTACCATAAATTTCAAAAATTACTTTCATTTGATCTTGTGCATTTTGGAGGGTATTTGAAGCCTATGCCATGTTCTTTCCTTGATCTGTGCAAGTTGCGAGAAAAAGTTTTTTTAAAATTTGAAATTTGGGCCACCAGCGGCGAAACGTTTCTCATGCTAAAATCAGGCAATGGTTTACTGACCTGGAGAATTATTTGTTTGAAGAACACCAAATAAACGCTTCAGAGTTCTTATTACCAGAAAACTCTAGTAGAGTGTTTAATTTAGACGAAGCAGGGTTTCCATAAGCAGGGACATTAGGAAGACTGAAAATAATTGCCTCAAAGAATGTTTATCGCATAGCCCCTGACACAAAAACGCAAATAACAGTTCTTGGCTGTGTATCCGGAGATGGAAACTACCCAAACTTTCCAGAAACACAGCCTCGTTACAATTTAGACCATGTAAATCCATCTGACTATGTTCTTCAATTTAGACCATGTAAATCCATCTGACTAAATTCAATTCTTAATTGTTTTTTATTTTATTGGTTTATAAAAATTTCTAAGTATTTTTTAGTTTTCTTTTAAGCATTAACGAAAGATTTATTTTCAGTGCCATTTTAAAATAATATTCGACAAATAATGTTTTGTGTTAACCCAAAAGGTTTTTAGTGTAAACTATATAACGATCTTACCTCATATTGAATTTTAAATTTTAACCAATTGTAATAATTCTATCGCAATGAATTGTAAACTCTAGAATACTCTATGATATCATGTTGCTTACCGTTTTGATAATTTTCAATTCATAACTGTTGTAAGTATACCCGACAAGAAAGGTATATGTGACCCACATGTGGTCATAGTGCTTTGGTGTGGATTAAAAGTTCAAAAATATATTACAGTTAATAAATGACGTATTTGATGAAGATAAGTGTGGCCCACTTGTGGAACACATATTGCGGTTCACATAACTATTCCACTTAATGTGGCATAATCCTTAAACAAATACGTTCTAAATTTAATATGGTTATCATATGGGCCATACATATAAAACTTACGATCTTGCCTCATTTTGAATTTTAAATTTTAACCAATTGTAATGATTCTATCGCAATGAATTGTAAACTCTAGAATACTCTATGATATCATGTTGCTTACCGTTTTGATAATTTTTAATTCATAACTGTTGTAAGTATGTTTGAGCGATAAAAATAATTATATATAAAAGAAAAAGTGTAAATATAAAAAAAAATATTAAAAAAAAACCTAGGCGTGTTAGGACTTGTTGTAACTATACAATTTGTTATCATTACTAAACTATGTTTTTTTAATGTGATTTTATGTGTAATTTAGATTATATAACGGCATATTGTTAAAAGAATATTATTTAAAACTATATTACTTATATACAAGGACGTACCGACGGGGGTGTCTGTGGATTGGACCCCCCCCCCCTAGATTTACAAAAGTCTGTCGGTTTTTGTCGGAAAATTGGAAGATTTGGGACTCTGTCGGTTAGAACTGATATTTGGCTTCTAAAAAAAAAAAAAAAAAAAACCCTTGTCTGTAAAGTTAACTTTTTTCTTTTGCACCCCCTTTTCCTTTAAAATTATAGGTACGCTCTCATGATTTTATAAACCCACAAGAGAAAATCAACCTATAATTTTGGATCTACGTAACTAAATGCGTTATTATATAGTGATTTAATATAAATTTGCTTATAGCGATTTAGTACATTTGTATATTTAGTATATTTGTTTTTCTCATATTCCTAATGATAATTTTGTTTTTTTTTAGTTATTTTTTATTGGTTACGTATAGGGCAAACTGATAGGATGTATTAAATCAACAGATGATAGATTTAAGAAATAAATATGTCTTCTTCATGTAAATCTATATGTCTTCTTCAATAAATCTACTAAATTTAAAAAAAAGTGCACGAAATTAAATTTTACTTCTACAACTTGCACGAAATTGTGCAAATCATTAAAAAAAAAAATTCATAACGAAAACAAAAAAATAAATAAAATATAGTATTTAATCATTGCCAAAATTATTACTATTTTGTAGATAAAACAGTTGGCTGCCTAAATTGAGCTCATTATACTTTTGGTGGCCGTTTGGTTATATTCTATAACGTTTATGGCAAATGTTCAGCAAACTGCCCAAAATTTGCCTACTTACCCTATTTCACTCAAAGAATTTTATTCAATTTTTAGCAGTCAA